TAATCTTTGATGATCAGCTGACCTTCACAGACCACATTACAAAGACAGCTCGATCATGCAGGTTTGCTATGCACAACATCAGGAAGATCAGGCCTTTCCTAACTGAGCATGCAACACAACTTCTCGTCCAGGCCCTGGTCATTTCTAGGCTTGATTACTGCAATGCTCTTCTGGCTGGACTTCCATCATGTGCAACTAAACCTCTACAAATGATCCAGAATGCTGCAGCTCGTCTGGTCTTCAACGAGCCCAAAAGGGCCCACGTCTCTCCTCTGTTCATCTCTCTGCACTGGCTACCACTCGCTGCTCGCATCAAGTTCAAGGCTTTGACGCTTGCTTACAGATTGACCACAGGCTCAGCTCCCTCCTACTTCCACTCACTACTACAAGTCTACATCCCTACCAGAAGCCTACGATCGGTCTATGAGCGACGGCTCGTGGTACCATCACAGCGGGGCACAAAATCACTCTCCAGAACATTCTCATTCACGGTTCCATGCTGGTGGAATGATCTCCCCACCCTCATCCGGAATGCAGAATCCCTGACAACATTCAAAAGACAACTGAAAACTCATCTCTTCCGGGAGCACTTAACATAAAAAAAAAAAAAAAAAAAAAAAAAAAAAAATTCCTTTCCTCTAAATCCTCGCTTGCCTGGCTTATGCTATTCCGAGCTATGTCTGAACTTTGTATTTTGAGCACTTCTTGCGTTGCTTTTGCCTCTTCACGATGACTCGCTTGGTTTAGTCCTCAGTTGTAAGTCGCTTTGGATAAAAGCGTCTGCTAAATGACTAAATGTAAATGTAAATGTAAATGTAATTTATTGGTATGACAATTAGAAATTAGACTGCTCAGAAATAGAAACTGAACTACAGGGTAATCATAATACACATTAAATGTAGTCACAATGCTGATGTTGATAATTTGAGAACAAAGTATAATTTGAAAGGTTTGACGCGATCGTTATATTTAATCAGCACGATTTACTGCAAGGCTTTCCCCCCTTAGTTGATGTGGATGTTACTTACTTGTTCAGATGACATTTTCCGATGAAAATTCGTATGTTGTCATGGTCATACTGTAGGCCTACTCCCAAAAGTAGAATGTGTGATTCTGAATGCCAGTTTCCACATCGGCGCGGTGACTGACAGACTCGCAGTCTCAAAACATTGTGTTCATCCGCGCTGTTTCATGCCGATGTGCAACTCACGCAAAGTTAATAATTCCGCGAATAACTGCAATTACAGATTTCAAACAGAGATGGCGACAAAGAGGAAAAATGCCGGACTGCAGCTTTAACGTTACCTGCACGTGTTATTGCAACTGTGTGCCCTTAATCTAAAATGAATCTAAATTCAAGGTGGTAACCATGAAATTTATCATTACTATTTTATTTGTATTATTATTAAAGATACCAATATATTTTTGTTTTTAGATTAGAGTAAGAAATAATAGGTTTTGATTTAATGCAAATTTTCAAAGTATACTTTACATAAAACTTAACAGCAACATGAAAAGAAATTATAAAAAATATTTGTTCCTTTCCAATTAATAAAAGGTAGTGGCAAACAGTAAAGTCTTTAAACTTGATTTAAAATAATTAAAATATGCAGCATACATTCAGTTTTCAGTGAATTTGTTTCAGATATATGGTGCATAAAAACTGAATGCTGCTTCTCCATGTTTTGTTTTGACTTTGGGGATATAAAAGTAGCTGGCTACTGTCCCAGGTGACCTGAGAGGTCAGCTCTGGATGGTTCATAATGCATCAGAAGATTAGAAATTTACTTTGGCCTTAATTTAATTATTGATATTAATATATTAATAATATTGATATAAATTGTCTATATTAATATAAATTATATAGTCTCAATCTATATTCCATTAACTCTATATTGGCCAGCTCTAGTGTGCATCCTAGCAAAAGTGAATGACTGTAATTAAAATGATTGTCAACAATGCTTTTCTTGAGCAATAATTTTTTTCTTTTTCTCATTTGGCAGACGCAGTGATGACCAACTTTCCTTCGGCGACTGAATGGGAAATAAAAAAATGCAATTTCTGGTCATTTTAAACAAGCACCAGGGAGAGCAGGGGGTGGTGGTTATGGATATAAAGCTAACAATTAATTCTTAAAAATTTTAGTATCTTAAGTTGTTTTTACATATTTTCCTATTTTTTTATTTGTTCATTTTTATGTTTAAATGTTGTCTAAGTTGTTAATATAATTGTTCTAAATAAATCCTTTATATTCAATGAGTTTGGATGGATTTTCATTTATGAGAACCTGTTGTATTTGAGTGAAAAGAATCCTTATGCCTCATTTTGTTGTCTATTACACGTATATGTAGTGTAATTGATGACTAGTCTATTCTTGGGCTATGGTTAGACGTCTATTAGATTTTCACTGACAGCCCAAAATTAGCCTTGTTTTAGCCTAGACCCATATTGACTGTCTATTAGACGTATATATGTAGTCGTTTAATAGCTGTCTAATTGATGACTAGTCTATTCTTGGGCTATGGTTAGACGTTTATTAGATGTATATATGTAGTCATTCAATAGCTGTCTATTCTTGGGCTATGTTTAGACATCTTTTAGATTTTCACTGACAGCCCCAAATTAGCCTCGTTTTAGCCTAGACGTCTGGGCTGTGTTTTGACGACTATTAGACGTCTATTAGACGCAAAATTGCTTGCTGGGTATCAACTGGCTCAACGTTAGGTGTCTGCGCTAAACATTTTACACATGAATCCTTTACAAATTTGGGGCAATATCAGGCGAAGTTGGCCTCGAAGCTACGTTTGGACAACATTAAATAAAAGGTAAACTTATGTGGGAGAAAATAGCAACAACCGTTTTAGCTCGTTACTGATGTTAATGTATGTCTCAGTCAAAATGATTGTCTTTACCATTCAGAGTCATGTTGATGTAGACGTCCTTCCATTGACTCTATATCTTCCGTTTCCAGCTCTGGTTCAGAGTCTGGCTCAAACATATATGGTTGAATTCCGTAGGTCGCGGCCAGGTCGGGTTCATTCACAACTTGCGCCATGATGTCATTTTGGAATGTTATGCTGAAGTTACCTGCGGTGTCAAGCCCCCTCCTTCCTGCCACCAATCAACGCGCCCCTCATTTGCATTATTAAAATGACCGTCCACGACAGCCAAAATATCGCATCAGATCTCGCGAGACAATAATGCATTCAGAAATAAGGGTCAGAGGAGCTCTGTGTTCATTTTTTTTCCACTTTTCTTTTTTAGAAGGGCCTGAAAGACTATAATAGATCGTGGGTATCCAAGGTAATACTAGGTTATGACTTAAATTACTCGCTTATATTACACTACTTAATTATATTACATTACTCATTTGAACTCTTCACTCAGTGAAACACCCACTGAGAATCCTGTTAAATGTGCCCTTATTGGCGATTCTATTAAAAGGAACGTGAAAATAGAGACACCAGCCACCATAGTCACAATGGGGGAAGCCAGAGCGCCTGACATCAAATTAACGTCAAAGAGTTGTGTGAACTCGCAAGTATGTCAGGCACTGTAATTTGCTCTGGTCCCCTTCCTGTTCGCAGGAGTGATGAGTAATCTGTCCTCACTGAATGGCTGGTTGTCTAAGTGGTGTCCGCAAAATAATATAGAATTCATAGACAATTGAAAAAGTTTTTGGGGCAGACCCGGCAGAAATTATTCGTAATTTCACGAATAATATTGAGAATGGAGTTCGTGGATGTTATGTAACAATATGTAAAATGATGTTCATTCTATGTGACGAACTTTGTGAACTTTAGATGCAGTTTTCTAAACGTGCGTTGCATGGCTGACGCCATCATCTTTGTTTGCTTTTGTAGATGTATACGTGTGAATGCCTACTGTCGCCAGAGAATATATATTTTTCCTTGTGTTACAGAGTAAACAACGCATGAAACACAGTTCTCCGTGTCCGCCTGTAATTTGAGTGCTGTCGGATGAGAAGCGTTACATTAACATCATTATGTGTTATAGTCTGAGCAAATCCGAGTGGGGAACAAATTGCAGTGATTTGGTTGAAACCGTAACAAACCAGACAAGACCAGAGACCCATAAACTCAACACTAATCTATTATCCTCATCATTTAAGTTCACACCATCATTTAAGTTCACACCATCATTTAAAAAGGAAAAACAATTTATCTAAATAAATATATCAAACATAATTGCCCATTGTACATACATGAATTAGTATGGTGGTTAAATGGAAATTATGACTTGTGCTGTCTCGCTTTAAATGAGGAATAATTTCCATTCACATGGTTCCAGAGATTAATGGCGAATCAGTAGACACAAATCCTTTATTATAATTCAAATGTTTATGTCGTGATATGATTTTGGCCTGCATCAACGATGTATTTAACGTGTTTAATGAGATAACTTATGGATCTGCTGACCGAAGATGGGGGCCAAACAGAGTCACAGACAGTCGGAGGTCCGGATGATGTTCATGTGCTTCAAGCTGCCCAAAATAACAGCTGTATGAAAGCATCATAACGCTCATCACTGATGCTGATTTCATTAAAGTCTTTTTCAGACTGTTTGCTGAGCACACAAAGGACGCGTTCGGGCTTTTATCAACTATTCCATTAAAACTATCCATCAGATTTGCACGCGGCTTTTCCCGGCGGCTGATGCTCGCCTTGGATTTGGTCTGACGAAGGCAAACGTAACGTTTCCTCTTCGAGTTTTTTAGTCTCTAATGAAAGCCCAGATCCTCTGCTTGCTGGTCACTTAGTTTTGACTGTGAAAAACTATTCAACAGCTCCAGTTTTGCTCCAAATGTAAGAGAAGAAAACACAAGCGTCAGCGAGCCGTAGACACCGAGCGGGGCAGGTTGAGTCTACGAGGTTCTCATGTGTTATTTAAGACCGCAGCGCCACTCGCGCTCTGTTCATTCATTGCTGAAACCAGACAGAGTTACTTTAATACATATCCGATCAGAGAGAGAGAGAGAAATGGCAGAAACCGCTCCGGCCAAATCACCCAAGAAGAAGTCCGCTGTTAAAGCCAAGAAAGCAGGTCCAGGCGTCGGCGACCTGATCGTCAAGGCTGTGTCCGCATCCAAGGAGAGGAGCGGTGTGTCCCTCGCCGCCCTGAAGAAAGCGGTCGCTGCCGGTGGATACGATGTTGAGAAGAACAACTCCCGCGTCAAGACCGCCATCAAGAGCCTGGTGACTAAAGGCACTCTGCTGCAGGTCAAAGGGACCGGCGCCTCGGGCTCCTTCAAGCTCAACAAACAGCAAGCCGAGACCAAGAAGAAAGCGGCTCCTAAAGTCAAGAAGCCCGCAGCCAAGAAACCCGCTGCCGCTAAAAAGCCCAAAACTGCAGCGGCAAAGAAGCCCGTCGCCAAGAAATCGCCAAAGAAGGTGAAGAAACCCGCCGCTAAAAAGACAACGAAGAGTCCCAAGAAGGCAAAGAAACCAGCGACTCCTAAGAAAGCAGCCAAAAGCCCGAAAAAGGCAAAGGCAGCAAAACCAAAAGCGGCGAAACCTAAAGCAGCAAAGCCTAAAGCCGCCAAGCCTAAGAAGGCAGCTCCAAAAAAGAAATAAATCCACTGTTTGTTTCTCAACGGCTCTTTTAAGAGCCAACCACTAACTCTGAGTAAAGAGCAAAACTCGTAAATTTGAATGATTTGTTAATTCTGGAATCAAATAGCCAATATGTGACGTTCGACCACTCAGACTAATGCAATCAAATAAGTAATCGAGTTTAGGTTAAGGTAAAACTCAAATAAATCATTTTTATTCATAAGAAATTGATTGGAAATGTCCAAAAAGCTTATGAGGATTCACACAGTAAACACAGTCCAAATAGGATGTTGTGTAACAGTAAAGAATACACAAAATATTATGGAGAAATGTGGCAATAAGCAACCACACACACACACACACACACACACACACACACACACACACACACACACACACACACACACACACACACACACACACACACACACACACACACACACACACACACACACAATAATAGCAGTGATACAATTATAATATTACATTTAGGATAATAATACTGTACAGGATCAGATCTGGTCAATGTGCACATAATATAGTGTGTGGAATGTGTAGCACTTTTGGTAGGAACAACGTATAAATTGTACTTTGAATTTTCTATCAAACATTTCAGTGGTCTTGTGATCATTCCGGCAAAAAGGGGGCTGGGCTTTGGAGAGAATTCAGTGATTGGTTTGAATCTTATCACAGTCTAAACCAATGGGCGACTGGCACTCTCGTTTATAGCCAGTATGTGGAGACATTGTACTTCATTCAGTTAGCTTTTTCAGTGCAGTACGTAAGTAATTTTATAATGAGTGGAAGAGGTAAAACCGGGGGAAAGGCTCGTGCCAAGGCCAAGAGTCGCTCTTCCAGGGCGGGACTGCAGTTCCCCGTCGGCCGTGTTCACAGGCTTCTCCGCAAAGGCAACTATGCCCAGCGTGTCGGTGCCGGAGCTCCGGTGTATTTGGCCGCTGTGCTCGAGTATCTGACCGCTGAGATCCTGGAGTTGGCTGGAAACGCCGCTCGGGACAACAAGAAGACCCGCATCATCCCTCGACACCTGCAGCTGGCGGTGCGCAATGACGAGGAACTGAACAAGCTTCTGGGTGGCGTGACCATCGCTCAGGGTGGTGTGTTGCCCAACATCCAGGCCGTGCTGCTGCCCAAGAAGACCGAGAAGCCCTCGAAGGCCAAGTAAACTGACGGAAGCTTTCTCTGCAAAACAAAGGCTCTTCTAAGAGCCACACAATTTCTCCCTGAGAGAGTTGTTTCATTCGTCTCAATTTATTTCAATTACTTTAAGTCCCTTTGATAAACAAAATATATATAAGAAGAAAAAATATTTTGCTGCCGCATGTCCGTGAATTGACCCTTGCACTATACAATGTTGATTATATATAAAAAACGAAATTTCTTACGTAAATAACGCTCTTTAAGTGTCTGAGGTTGCATTCATATCGCAGTTTTTCAATGGCGCTATTTTTTATTAAAATCTGACTAGAAATACATGCCCCTAAAGAATTCCTATGAGTAACATATTTCATTGTTATCCACTCTCACTGCATTATTTGTAAGGATTTTATCAATGTATAATGGAAGTGCATATAGTTTTATCAGCATGGCTAAAAAGATTTAAACTGATATATTGACATAAATACAAAGAAATTAAACACAACGTAGTGATTAAGTTCATGCACTTATCTCAGTTTTTACTATTAGTGTCACAAGTACAACTACAGCAAGTTTGCTGTACAAATATACCTGATTTCATTTTTATGTACAAAGAGAAACAAAGGATGTTTGGGCGGGAACCACAAACTCTTGTCTCTTGTTTGAAAACAGGACCCAGCCATTGGCCAACTGTCATTTACAGACGCCAGACAATAACCAATCGAATGTCTTTGAAGCAAAGCCATCCAATGAGCGCATAGCAGCCCCAGGGTTAAATTCGCGCTGTTTCAGAGGACTATTCATTCGTTCGATGATCGTCCTGAGCAAAGCAGCAACTGAACTCCTTTGAAGCAATGGCGAGAACTAAGCAGACCGCTCGTAAGTCCACCGGAGGAAAAGCCCCGAGGAAGCAGCTGGCCACTAAAGCCGCCCGTAAGAGCGCTCCCGCTACCGGCGGCGTTAAAAAGCCTCACCGTTACAGGCCCGGTACCGTGGCGCTGAGAGAGATTCGCCGTTACCAGAAATCCACTGAACTGCTGATTCGCAAACTGCCCTTCCAGCGTCTAGTGAGAGAAATCGCTCAAGATTTCAAGACGGATCTGCGCTTCCAGAGCTCGGCTGTCATGGCCCTGCAGGAGGCGAGCGAGGCTTATCTGGTGGGTCTGTTTGAGGACACCAACCTGTGCGCCATCCACGCCAAGAGAGTCACCATCATGCCCAAAGACATCCAGCTGGCCCGCCGCATCCGCGGAGAGCGCGCTTAAATCCACAGCAGAAACACTCACACAAACCCAAAGGCTCTTTTAAGAGCCACCTCAATAACTATGAAAGATGATTTCCATATTACTGTGTTTTAAATATGAACTTAAATATATCACGGTGGTCTTTTAAATAAAAAAGCTATTTATATATATTTCTTAAATCTAAAAGAAAATTAATTGTGATTAAGTTTTATAGTTATGCTACTATATTTAGTAATTATTTAATTTGTATGTTTATATGTATAACGTTAGTTATTAACCGTCATTCTCATACCTGAAACAAAATCTTTCCCCCGCGGGTCAAAATGACTGAATTCAAGCCCTATAGTTATACGTAGCTTCCTTTTGTCTAGAAAGCTTAAGAAATATTATATAGAAAGCACATTTAAGTTTATTTTTATATACTATATAGTTAAATTGTATCTTTATCAATATTATTTAAATACTTCTTTCTTTCTTGTTCTTTTTTTTTAAAGGTGGTTGGCCAACAACTTTAATGTGCATTACCGCCACCTTCTGAAATGGAGTGTGGATCAAAATAGCTGCCTTTACTCACTGCTATTTAAATAAAATAAATACAAATCTAATACAATTCTTAATATTAATACATTATCATTCACATCATTATTAATACAATTTTAATAACAACTAAACTCGTATCCTTCCAATGAGCCCAGTTCCCCCCCCCCAAAAAACTAAAAATTTCTCTATATCCCACATGCCCTGAATTCAGTTGTAATATTTCCTTCATTTCAAATATAATTTTCTCTTTGCTCAGCCTATCTTTCAGAAACATCCTTTCCTGATTATACCTACGACAATTAATAATTAGGCTACATGTTCTAATGTTTCACTATATTACACTGCTCTCACAACCCAGTTTCATGTTCCCTATTATTTGAAGCGTACTATTTAACCCAGTATGCCCAAATCATTCTCTAAATAATATCCTCTTCCTTTTTATTTCTATTATTTTCTCTCATTCCTCCTACCTAGAATGTTCTTGCTTTTGTTTTCATATTCCACTTCTCCTGCCACTTCTTTTTCATTTCTGCTTTGTTAATGCTTTTAACTTCCACTTTACTATAACTACTGCCATATCAACCTCTGTTTTTTTTTGTAGCCTATTTTGCATATTTGTCTGCCAATTAATTTCCGACTTCACCTAGGCTATATGGGCTGGAATCCAGATAAATGTTACTATTACTCTGGCTTTAATGATCCTGTATACAGTTTGGGCTATTTCCAACATAATATACTGTCTTGCTTCTGACTGCATGTTCTTGAAACTGGTTAGCGCACTACTTGAATCTGACCCTATTAACACTTTGTTTGCCTTACTATTTTCTACCCACTCAAGTGCTAAAAGAATGGCCAACATTTCTACTGTAAACACTGACAATTTATCATTAACTCTTTTATTTAACATAACATTTATTTCTGGTATAATGAACGCAGCTCCTACTCTTGTCATCTGTTTTTGATGCATCAGTATATAGCTTAATAAACATTGAATAATTTTCCTCTAAATACCTACTAACCTGAATCCTGTCAATACTTCTCTTTTTTTCCACTCCAAAAGGTGCAAATCTAACCCTAATATCCGAGGTGGGACACTGGATAATGGCACAGTGGGGCTTAACTTTACATCTCCTATCCCTATCTCATCGTCTGCATCTTCATTATCCAACCAAAGCTCTTAATCTGTCGTCTTTCCTTTTCTTGACAAGGTTGTAACACCTTCTGAGTCGGATGAATTTCCATATGCCCTTTTAAATTTACCTAATACGTTAATGCTATCTGATTTCTTCTAATATCCAATGGCATTTCATTAATTTCTACTTGTAATGCTGCTACTGTTGTTTTAAAAGCACCACAACAGAGTCTCAACGCCTGATACTGAATTACATCCAACTTTTTTAGTAATGTTCTCGAAGCAGACTGATAAATTATACATCCATAATCAAGAACTGCCCTAATTAATCTGATACTGCTTTCAATGAGATCCTACACTCTACCTCTCAAACATCTTATTACATTTAATATTCTTTTACATGATCTTTCAACAACATTCTCGATATGTATTTTCCACTTAAGTTTTTTGTCAAACCATATCCCGTTTTACTTAAAACAGTCCACTCTCTCTAAATTTCTTTCATAAAGTTTAAGTTGAATCTGTTCTTGAATTTTCCTTTGTGAAAAACAGACTAGGCTACTTTGGTCTTTTTCCACTGAACACCTAAAACCCCATTCCATCCCCCAACACTACTTTCCCTATTGCCTCTGGCATTTTCATCACTATATATTGTATATTTCTTCCCTTTTTCCACATAACGCTGTCATCTGCAAATAATGCAACACTTATAGATCTATCAACTTAACTAAACACTTCATTCATCATAACTGAAAACAAAACTGGACTAACTATACTCCCTTGAGGAGTTCCATTTTCCACTAAATACTTTGTACTAAATTCTTTCCCTATTATTGCGATCCACCTATCCGTTAAAACGTTTTTAATCCAACTATACATTCTCCCTCTTATTCCCATCGGAAAAATCTTAATCATTAGTCCTTGTTTCCACAACATATCGTATGCTTTCTCTACATCAAACAAATACAGACACTATACTTTCTTTATTAATTTGAGCTTTTCTAATTTCACTCTCTAAACATATAGCCGGATCTATTGTGCTTTGTCCCTTTCTAAATCCGCTCTGGTAATCATTTAATAGGTCCTTTGTCTCTAAATAATACTTTAATCTTTCATTTATCATTTTTGCCATAATTTTCCCTACTTGTGAAGTCAAAGCTATCGGTCTAACTTTCTGCCAAACTCGGATCCTCTCCTTTCACTAGTATAACTAGAAACTAGGCATCAGAAGACTAACCTCGACCTGGAAATACGTCACTGGTGACGTTTACTAGAACCGCCCGTTATTGTGGTTTCAACTAGGTCCGCTAGCTGACTATAAATGCCTCTTCTCCAGAGATTTGTTCTTTATTCGGTTGTTGTGAGCTGAAGAGTATCTGTCGTCATGTCTGGAAGAGGAAAAGGCGGTAAAGGACTCGGGAAAGGAGGCGCTAAGCGTCACCGAAAGGTTCTTCGCGATAATATCCAGGGAATCACTAAACCCGCTATTCGTCGTCTTGCTCGACGTGGCGGCGTCAAGCGTATTTCTGGGCTGATCTATGAAGAGACGCGCGGTGTGTTGAAGGTGTTTCTGGAGAACGTCATCCGTGATGCTGTGACTTACACTGAACACGCCAAGAGAAAGACCGTCACCGCCATGGATGTTGTGTACGCGCTGAAGCGACAGGGACGCACCCTGTACGGGTTCGGCGGTTAAGAGACTCACGAAGAAGAAAAACCCAACGGCTCTTTTAAGAGCCACCCACATTTACACACAAAGAACAAACTCTAGCTGGTGAAATTGTATTTTCGTAATATATTACATTACTTATCGTGCTTGCCTTAAACGTTGCCATAATAATTTAAGCAAATACAAATAATAAACTATTTACTTCTGTTATTTTCTCGATTGTGCTTTGCAGTTATAACTACAATTTCAAAGAGTTGTAGGCGTTCGTGGTCATTGAGCAATATTTTTTTAATATAGTTTACTAACTATTGTGCTTACATTTGTATGCATGTCTTTCAAAGTACAGTTTATTCTTTACTGTAGTGGACCCTATATTTTAGTGTATATCTAACATGTCATGTAAAGTCACATTCAGGGCTTTCCACAGATACCAAAAGGCACATATTGCCATGTTTACAGGCATTAGTAAGTGCATGAAGTAAAATGCTATATCAGTTCATTACATTATATCTTCCATAACATAGCTGAGAATCATCTTTACACAAAGTTTAGTTAAAACAAATTGTAAACTTACCATAGTTTTTGTCTATATGTGTAATTTCTTGTCATTTTATTTTTAAAAGAATAATGTAATGTAATATTACAGAATAACATGAATAAAATATAATTTTTCAAGCTGTTTCTCATGTTAGAAACATTGACTTAGATTTGAGAAATATGTTTCAACATTTAACTATTACGTTTCTTAGCTGTAAAAACAATCCAATGACATGGAAATACAACAACAAAACGTTTCTGGGTCTCAAGGGAATATTCATATCTTTCAAAGCACAGTATTGTGCAATTATAGTGAACTCATGGAGTTTACATTGAGTGATAATACATTGTGTTATTTCTGCTTCTAAATAAACGTTCACATTCAACTGAATCCTCAGCGTACCTGGTTTAAGATTTCTGAAATTATTCACAACATTTTACATATTCATTCCGAAAAAAATGCGGGAAAATGAAACAAAGGAATGGAGTTTATGTGGGGGATGGAATTCATAGATGGGCGTGATTAATATTTTAACGGTTCTGATTGGTTCGCCTACAAGTCAGTGAATGTTTAATTTGGCCAATGATGTCATTCTATGGGTTGAAGACTCACAATCACAGAGCCTGTTCTTCCCTTTAGAAATTAGCATAGAGCAGTGGATAAAACCCGCCTGCAGTGACACAGCTTTACTGTTCTTTGAACGAAATCATGCCTGAACCAGCGAAGTCTGCACCCAAGAAGGGCTCGAAGAAGGCCGTCACTAAAACCGCCGGCAAGGGCGGAAAGAAGCGCAGAAAGTCCAGGAAGGAGAGCTACGCGATCTACGTGTACAAAGTCCTGAAGCAGGTTCATCCCGACACCGGGATCTCCTCCAAGGCGATGGGAATCATGAACTCTTTCGTCAACGACATCTTCGAGCGCATCGCCGGTGAAGCGTCTCGTCTCGCTCACTACAACAAGCGCTCCACCATCACATCGAGAGAGATCCAGACCGCCGTGCGTCTGCTGCTGCCCGGAGAGCTGGCCAAACACGCCGTGTCTGAGGGCACAAAGGCTGTGACCAAATACACCAGCTCAAAGTAGAACGAGTCCGCTCAACACAACACAAAGGCTCTTTTAAGAGCCACCCATACTATCTGTGAAAAGAGCTGTGATCGGACATTATCTTCTCATACTAAACTAAAAGCTATTATCTGTCCTTCTGTTTACGCTGTTAAGCATCGGGTTTACCAGATGAACACGTTACAAACCGGTTATCCTTTTTCTTTAAGATTAAATGAATTAACTTAACAGCATATAGGCTTTGCTTTTCAGCTAATGTAATTTTTTAAATTCAAAACATTTTCAACATTTAGCTTTGAATGTTTTTCTTCTCCACAATCATCTCTTTGTTTTACAGTAGCAGAAACTCTTCTGAGACCGCAGTGATTCTGAAGCTCTGATCCATCGCTCCTGAAAATACTCTCACTATTGTTGATCCTGCAGCTGTAGTAGAGGAAGATGATGATGATGATGTGAAACTTGTGCTCCAGTAATGCTGGGATTTACAGACATGATCATGTCAACATTCACATCTTCCTCCACAAACCACAGATCAGATTTCCACTGTGAGGAACATTTATTATGAGCTTCATAATGAAATCATTATTAGAATTACTATATAGTTTTACTCAATGCTTCTCTTTTAGTCTCTTAGTCAAGCCTATCAAAAACAAATTCATTAAATTATTTAAAGTAATTTGAATATAGTCTGATCAGAGTATTGCGGTTTCAACTCTTTCTGAGTGTTTGAGTCTGATATAAACTGCAGTCAAATACATTGATTTAGTTTGTTCCTGACTGTCTTGAAAGGGAAACTGTCAACAAAGAATTTAAATGATGAAATGCTTTACTAAATATATCGAGATTTATTTTTCAATTGTGACGGAAACATTACATTGTTTTTTTAAATAGATGAGGGTTTACAAATGATACAAATGTGAAAAACACTTCTAATAAACACTTAATTTCAACAGTTATTCTATACAGAACATTTGATACAGAATAAAACTATATGTATGATTAATAATTGCTCAAACAAGTGAACTAGAACAAGCAACAGTATCATTGTCAAGCTTTCACTATTAAAGAACACTAAAAACACACGGTTATGACAAATATAAAGCTTATGAGAAGAACGATCTACAATATTTTCAAACCATAAAGGACAAATAAATCCTGACAGAACATTCAAACATGTGGACAGAATTAACTCTTTAATATCAGATTGAAGTTTCTTTTCTACGGCGTACTGACTTTGGTCTTCAGATGATGAAACTGAAATACACAAAAATCATTGCTTCAGTGAGGGAATATGGAGAGAGAGAGAGTGTGTGTGTGTGTGTGTGTCAGACAGAAGTTCTACCTCTCGCTCCGTAACATTTGAAAAGCAGCACGACTGTCGCTGGCAGATACGGAGAAGCTGCCAGAAGAAAACTGAGGATTTTAAAGACAGAAATCTGACCTGAAAAACAGAAACACAAGAACATTATTGAGCAACATTACGGAGCTCTGAAGGGCTTTCAGAAAGTTTCTCAAGGAACCCAAAGTTTGTGAGTGAATATATAAAAGCTTTGAAATATTTTTCCACAGTCTCATATTATTCCACTATTTCCCTTTTAGAGCTCTGTATTAAAGGAATAGTTCATTCAAAAAAATAATATTCTTAATTTACTGACTTTCATGTTGTTCAAACCTGTTTAAATTTCTTTCTTGTGTGTAAAATAAATATATTTTGAAGGAACTTTTACTTTCATTGTATATAAAAAAAAAACCTATAGTTTTTAAAATTCTACACATGATGTGTCGTTTTTAACACATCTCTTTTTGCAGTCTAAATACCTTTTATGTTCCACAGAAGAAAGAAAGTCATACAGGAAGTCGCTAACAGTCGCTTGATTTCATTGAATTGTGGGATGTTGTTTATAAGGTGTTGATTTCACTATATTTCAGCATATTTTGCATGTGATTTGATAGTTCAACTTTTGTTCATGTGAGTTATGTGAAAAAACACAGTTCTGTCATGAACTCTCTGAGTGTTTGGCATGGTTATGGATATGACAGTGTTGATATGTTTGGTCTTGAAGGAATAGATCTTCTACGCTGCTGTATAAAATATATGAATTACCCGTAGCAGATCTATACAGGTGGAGCTGGGGAAGGTGCAGGGTTTCTGAAAGCGTGCGAGCTCATTGGCTACTGATACAGCAGGAACCAATCAGCTCTGCCCTATAGAGAATGATGTGATTGCAAGTAGACTGATTTAAAGACCTGTCAGCCACCGCCATCTAGAGTTTCATGACAGAACTTTGTATTTGTCAATAACTGATTGTCCTCCAGCAGAAATAAGAGACAGAGACACATATATATTAATAGTGTGGCGTATCTCATCAGATGCTCATGAATAAAATAAAATCATCTCACAATTATAGACTCCCGTGACTGAGATCCAGCTGTGGAGAGACTGTCCTCTCTCTGTTTTACAGTGGTAGAAACCCTCATGTGACTTTGAGACAGTAGTGATGCTCATCTCTCCTGTCGTCTGATTCTGGATCAGTGATCCGTCTTTATAGAAATCAGCGCTGAGGATCGGGGAGTTTGTAGATCGATGTAAACAGTGTAGAGTCAGAGTCTCTCCCTCAATCACAGGATCAACAGAACTCTCCAGAATCACCTCACCGTCTACAAACACAAGATATGTGTGTTTAATACTGTAAATAGGAAGAATACAGCAAAACAAATCATCAAAATCTTTATATTATGAATTGAACTTTTTACTTCCTGAGCTTTTTATATTAGTCTTGTAGTCTTACCTGATCTCATAAGAAAAAAAATATGTTGATTATAAACATTATTATGTTTTATAGTTGTAAACATGAGAATTCTCAATTATAATAATTTTTAATCTGAACAGATTGTTTTTTTTAATGATATAGTTGTAAGAGTGATTGGACTCACCATGTACAGTGATGTTTCAAAGACGGCGTTTCTCTCCAGATTCAGACTCACACCAGTACACTCCAGTGTCAGATGTGCTGAGAGAGTCGATTACACATCGAGATCCTGTTTGTTTTGCACAAGTTTGTGTGTGTTTGTCTGTGTATCTTCTCACTGTCCATCCAGCAGAGTTACTCTGATCCTCACAGCTCAGAGAGAGAGAGTCATCTCATCTCATCTTTATGAGAACTGTAGTGGAAATTTCAATTATCTAATGCTAACCTATAATCTGACTATCCGCTTTCCTTAAATGCTCAAGCTCTCTACGTCCCTTACGACGTCTTTAGCTTACTCAAGCTCCCTACGTCCTTTACGACGTCTCTAGCTTACTCAAGCTCCCTACGTCCTTTACGACGTTCCTAGCTTCGAGTTTTCTGAACTACTCTTACTCTTTGCTCTTTTCTCTTTTATTCTTTTGCTCCTTTTCTCCTTTGCTGCGCAGCTTAAATGACAGACAGACTTCAGTAAACGTCCTTTAGATGCTCTTTATTTCAGCTGGGAGTCCTCTCGAGCAGTACTCAGAGAAGTCTCAAAATTAATCACAGAATACAACAGGTTTTATAGAGAAAAAGCCAGACATATCAAAAATAGAATCATCATCACTAAGCAAAAATCATTGTCCCGCTCTACCCACATGATTTGTCACATTTGTTAAAGCAAGCCCCCCTCATTTGTTAGTGACATCAGCATATGTTCAGGAACAGAACGTTTAGTTCATTGTCAAACTTCAACCTGACCAAGCAAACATTTGGGTCAAATATTTGTCAGATGACTAGATCATATGAAAAAACCCCTGATGGCTACAACCTGAAATAAAGGAAGTAAGTCTCATTATGTTTATTGTTAGAATAAGAAATGGAAAGTTTTAGTCGTTTTTCAGACAGAGAAGTAGGAAGCATGATAGATTGTATCACATGAGAGAAATATTGAAATCATGATATCTGATAGAAATACGAAATCAGAACGTTAGTAATATGATTAACTTTACTGATTATAATATAAAATCAGAACTTTATGGTTAGTGACATGATTGACTTTGTCTATTATAATTTTTCCACGACAGAACGAAAAAAAAAAAATTACCGACTGAATGGTAGGAAAAGCTAATCTACGGGGAAGTAAATGTTGGAGAGAAAAAAATCCTTACCCAACAGAGAATAAGGTTTCAGATAACACCTGTCTTTGCCAAAATTTTAAGATCAAATCAATATCAATATAACCATGACAAGTAGTTAGGGTAAACCCCCACAAACAGCCATATACTTAGCAAATATTGCCAAGATGAATAATTGACTTTGTATGAGTAAGGTTGCAATTGGCATTGCACATGAGATTGACATTTCAAACATTCTACAAACAATTTTTTTATAGGTTTGTATTAGTTTATATATTTTATAATGTAATAATTTCACAGTTAATCTATAAATGAATGTAGAGACAACATAAAGACAGTATATTTTAAATACTTGTTTAATGGCATCTTTTTATGAATGAAGGTTGGTGTCACTGATCCTAATACAGCTATTGATGTCTGGATAAAAATGATTTTTTCCCCCTAATTTTAAACATTAATTATAGCCAGCCATCCAACATTACAGTGTAACTGAAAGCCAAAAAAATTACATTTTGTTAGGCTTCAAAAAATATATAACAACTTTTAATTTACGTGAACTTAAAACAATCATCAGATAAACCCATAATAAATGTCATATTTACTTTTGCCCTTTCTGTCTAACAGGATGTATAGACGTTATCCTCAACTAGCGTCACTTCACAGCTGCTGCTGTAGCGGCATGTGTCCCCAACAGTAGGCGTAAAAAAGTTTGTCATTTTTGAGCCGTTTCATTTTCGCGTTTAGACTCGTCTTGCTTCATTGTGTACTTCCCAGTCCTCCTGCCATGTTTATCTTTCGCGCCGCGCACCGTTACGGACTAGTCCATTTTATTGTGAAAGTAGGGGGTGTTGTAGGGACAGATAACCATGAACTGGACATTTTAACTACTACTTCAAGATTTCAACGTATTTCTTAAGAATATTAATAACATTTACTATGCTTTTGAAGCGTTCATGATGATAAGGGGCTTTTTCTTTTCTATTTTTTTTTTTGAGGT